GCTGAACAGAAGACCTTTTCTTTCTCTGCTCACCCTGAACCTCAACATGCTGCCTCGTTGCGTTTCACCCCAGGAGAACATGGGCTTTGTGAGCATGAGGTTGAGTACAGAAAGTTCTTTTCAAGCTACTAAATTCCCCACCACAGGGATTTAGATTAAACACTTTAAAAAAGTGTCATAGTGTGCATTTTAGTTAAAGTATGCATTGGAACCCACAAAATAACAAGCCTGTCTAAAGGTGGTATTCTGTTTCAATTCTAATTAGAATTCTAAATTCTAATATAAACATTAATAGGAAAGGCTGGCTGTATATTTTTTTCAACCTTTACCCCCAAATAAGCAACATTAATAGTTTCTGAGGATTACAAAAAGTTAAATGCTTCTGGCAGTACTACTGCTTTGTAAGTGATTGTTGATATCACTGGTTTTGTCTCTGTCCCTTTTCTCTTGCAGAACACTTAATAGAAAACGTGATTCTTTGATTTTTCCATTAACTTTATTGCCTTCATATTTAGCTGTTTGTATAAAATAAGTTTTATTGATATGGCTGTTGCCCAGTGTATGTAAAAAAAAATAAAATAATCTAGTTTATAATAGTTTTAATGAAAATTTGTGACACTTGTAAGTTAACTATGTATGCAGTTTCTTTTTATGGACAAGGATGATTTTCAGTGAATCAAAATGCTATGATGCCTCTAAGCATGTGTACACTAACTTGCCACTGAACAAACTGTGACATTATGTAAAAGATTAGTAAGTCCCATGATGTCATTTAGGACTTTCCAGGTAATGTCACAGGATCCCATGGCTCCAGAAATTCTCTCTGGCAGCACTCCCATGTGGAGCTTCCTTGCTGCAACAAGGGAACAGGAGATGAGCGCTACTTACATTAGACTGATCATCCTAATGGCACGTGAACAATAAAATATCACTGAAGTTCTGGCCTTTCCCCCTATTAACACTCACCCTAAAGATGTGTTTCCCAAGATATTTTTCCTTCTGCAGAACTTTTCATGAAGGAAACCTTAGGAGAATTATGCATTTATACATTAAGGTATATACCTATTTATTTATTGACACTAGGCCATCAAGACATTTCTCTTTTGAGCTTTCAACAGGACACAATTGAGCCCAACTGATCCTCAGAACACGATGCGAGACAAGTTGCTGTTGGAAAAGGGCACAGCAACAGCTGATATGTGATTTGTAGTAGTGAAGAAGAAACATTTAACAAAAAAACACTGATTGGCTATCATCACTATGGAATTTTTCGCCTTGTCATCATCAATATTAACTTCTATGGTCATCTAAATATAGAATAATCGAATCACAGAATGGCTTGGGTTGGAAGGGGCCTTAAAGTTCATCTAGTTCCAAACCTCCTGCACAGGGACACATTTTCTTATAAATCCTTTAACATAAAGGGGTAGGGAAGAAAAATTTTAAAAATAGCCATCGTGTGGTTTGTCTTGTTTATAAATATGACTCCATACCAGGATGTTGGATCACTGAGCTGACTTTCTGGTAAGGAAACTGAATTACAGTGTAACAGAGCCTGTGCTAAACCTTCAGGCAACCCTGTCAAAGTGCTCAGTTGTGAGTCTTTAGCTGTTAAAGCATCTCTCTGTACAGAGACAGACTTTAAGCTCTAAGAAGGTACCTCTCATTAGGATGGCTAATGAAGCAGAACTCTTGTGGTTTTTTTTTTCCTTTTTTAATCACCAGAATTCAGATCTCACACATTAGGCACAAATTTAGAATGAAAAGTCATTAGAAATGAGATGTGTATAATGTACGTGGACTTTTTGCTATTTGTGAAATGGAAGTTTCTTTCGTCTGAATCAAGACACGGAATGTGATTAGGAATAATTAAGACATTTTGGACTAATCTTTTGTATTTAAAAATATCTAGGTGCTCATGCAGTCTCTCTAAGGGCGCATGCATAGAGCAAAGTAGTCATAGATTAGATCTGCACCCATCTAAAGCATTTTTGCACAGATTGAAGTTCTAAAGCTTGGTCAGATTTCACAAACGCAGCTGGCATGCACAGTCTACTCATACTGGTTCATCTGTTTGGAAAGACAATATTTAGAGTATGAAAAGATCATTCACCATTCATAAAATACATTATTCCTGAGGACAGTGTGTGCCTTACACTTTAGTAAAAGAACGTGCAGTCAATGCAAACAGCACACTAAACAAAGTCTAGCCAAAAATTTCTCAGCTTAAGCAAATGAGTGGGTAGCAGCAAAACCTTCAGACATTGTTGATGTCCTCCAAAAATAAAGGAACACACACAGTGTTTTTCAAAAAATTCTTGTGCTTTTCCAGTGCACAAAATGCACGTCAGACCTACATACTTGCCTTTGATACACCAGTGTTGAAAATCATTAATGATACATATATATATTTAAATCTCAAATAGAAAAAGGTTTTCTTCCTCATGTGTTGGTTTTTTTTAAGTCCAATTGCAGTTTGTCTAAGTCTGTATTGACAGGTGCTAATATCCACAGCAGAAACAGGAGAGTATAAAACAACAAACCATTATTTCTGATTTTGTGCCTACTTTTATCCTGTATGCCTTGGGCCAGCCAAGGCATTTGCTCTGAGAGAAAACTTCAAAAAGTGAGCTCATCTGTGACATTCTGAAGAACTGAAGTACTATCATTACATGGCACAGACACAGAAGCTGCTACACACTGTTAATGCTGTCAAACAGTGCTTGATAGTCCATAGAATGAAACAGAGAGACAAGAAATTAAATCAAATTATGTGATTCAGTAAATACAGAGGAGAGTGCATTAATTATTTCTGATAAGGACTCCTGAGGAACTTAATGCACAACCCAGAACATGAAGGAACAAAAGAGTCTTTCCTAAACATGGAAAGCTGAGTTCCACCAGCCCTTTATGACAGAACTACTGGGTAATATATCTGATTAGACCATACCTTCCAATTTCTTTTCTCCTTTGTGCAATATTGTAGACACTCCTATAACTGGCTTGTCTGGTCACAGAGAGCTGGAATTAACCAAGAAGTCTCAATAATACAGTGAAACGACTGAAGAACTTAAGGTCTGATGATGCTAGGCCCCCTGGATACAAAATATCCTACTCATCCACTCTGCTGGGCTCCTGACTCTTAAAATTAGTTTTATATGGCACAATAAAATAATTGTGGGTAATATATACAAGTGAATACTGAAATCACACTTTTGGGTTCAATAGGGTATGGGAAGTAGTAAAAACTCGGGTCTATTCATACCTGTCAGCTGTGATTTTGCTCAAGCTTTAACCCTAAAAAATTATTAAAATTTGCTGCTTTTATAGTTCCTGTGCTTTGTTGACTGTTTTTTATGCTTATCCAACAGAGAAGCATTATTTACAATTTTACCAGAGAAACAGAATCCACTCCTTTCTCTGCAAGTGAACCCTGCATATTTGAATAAATTGTTTAAGTGCTTATCTTTTCTCACATTTGAAATATTAGTAACAGACAATTTAATCACCAAAATGTGACTATAACCATAAGCAACACTGCTGTATGCACAAAAAAACTGAAATTTGATTCTTTACATGAACATCTAACTTTTATAGTGATTTTATCCAAAGAAGCCCCTCAAAACTGTAAGAAGGCATACAAATAATAATAAAAATACTCTAAAATAACCACTGTGTGTGTGTGCATTTATATACAACCTGTATACATAACTGCCATCTGCCTGGATGCAATTCCCATGCTTTGACTTATTTAGGCCAATAAAAGAAGTGCACATTATGGGAACATTTACTGTTATAATAAGAGCATTGTTATAAAGTGCTCTGCTTTTTCCCTGAACAAGCAAGTCATAATGTTATACTGTATGTCTGATATATATCTGCATAAGCTTGTATACTATAAAGAGTTAATTGTATACTCAGGACAGAATCATTTGCACTGTATGAAATATTTCAAGTTAGCATTCTGTGAAGTCATGGAATCATTGCCCAGACAGGCCAAAGGGAACAGTAACACACAACACTTGCATGCTACATCAGAGCATGAAAATGACAGTTCTTCTATCCTGGAGGTGTGTGGTGGCCTTTCTGCACAAAACAGTGGAAAGACCACTCAACAGCCATGTCATTTTCAAATATAGCTGCAATATGATGTGTTCTCTTAGTGCTGCTGTTTTCTCCTTGAATTTAGATTTTTTGGTTTTCAACTAGAAGGATAAATTAATGACACTGATGTGCAAATCTCAAACTGCATAGTATATATTAAGCAGCCACAGACCCCTTTTTTAGGGTAGGACCACATCCACAATCTCAACAAGAGACTAGGACAAACCTGACAAAACAGTAAGCCTGAAAGATCATTTGATATCAAATTATGGCCACAAAGGCAACACTTGCTCTTTTCTTCAGAGGCATTATAGATGGAGCTGAGCAATCAGAAGCTGTAGAAGAAGTGGATATCATTTAAGTTGATTTTAGTCATGCCCTTACTGTGTAAGTTCACAGGTAATTTTTTACTTCATTATGCTGTTAGTATCTTGAAGAAGCAGCATGAAATTCATTGCCTTTTTTTAAAGCCAGGGTGTCCAAATTTTTAAATCTGTCTGCACATTCCTGAGTGCCAGTTCTCCTTGGTGCTCACCACAGACCAGTTACGGGTAAGGCTCTTCATTTTCTTCATTGGAAGCATCTATTTTCCAGTTCACACCAAAGTCTGCAACTGTTCTGCCCAGCAAGAACATACACACCCCATGAACCTCACGCACTGATGCCAGACTCTGACTTCAGTTTGTAACTGCACTCCAGTTTCCAAGCAGTGTTTTGTTGCAGCATGGTAGTGACTAAGGCCATTCATGGTGATACTGTTTCCCATTCTTTTTCCTTTCTCTCTGCAAATGCTCCAGTTCAGCCTCATACATCATTTCCTGGACTAAGTATTTCTCTCTCCTCATTCTGTCACACAAGTCTTTAGGTATGTCCGGAATCAGGTAGGCAATAAAAGACTTTATTCCAAAAACAAGGTGCTGGAAAGAAGAACAAAAATAATTGCTTCAAAGATGCATAAATATTAATTTCTAGGACCAAGTCTGTAGCAAAACTGAAACTGAGATTCACTTCATGACTAAAAAGAAGCTCCTTTGTTTTTTAATACATGTACACAGAGATATGGGCGTAAATGTGGGATGTATCAGAAATGTGAAAATGCTGAAGTCTTCTGAAAAGTAAAAAAGTAACCTTGATGAATATGTGACAGCAGGATATGCTAGATTGAATAACCATAGCAAACAATACCTACAAGAAGCCTTTGTTAACAGCTTGTAATGAAAGTAACCAAACAGCTTCCTGGGCAGTAGCACAACATTCTTCAAATTCAGTACACACATGGCTGTTTTTATATTAGGCTAGATACGTATAATTTTTCTGAAACATGTTTAACTTGTAATAACTCTACTTCATGTACACACAAGGTGTCTTTCTTTTTTTTAAACAAAGCATGAAAGATCTGGTTGGGAACCAACATGATGTATAAGATGAGCGCTAAGGAAATATGATTTTGGAGTGACTCTGCACACTTGGTCCATTCACTTTGAAGCAGCTGACTGACAACAGTTTGGGGAGGGTTACTTTTTTTCCTCTCTCTTGACTGTAACAAACAACCAGTTGATGAAACTGAAAATTTATTTATGGGATTACTGCAAAAAAATCCACTTGGACTTTAAAGAGGAAAGGAATTGTTTCTTTCCATGACTAACCTCAAATACTATGATGAAGGCCAGCCGTGCTGCCAGGACATGCCAGAACTGCAGAGTGAATTCATACGGAGTTGAACTCCATGGTGGGGCTCTGTAATCTCTGTACCTGTAAAGCAAAGAAAAACTGAGTAGGTTAGCTTGGGCTCAAAAACCTGAACATGGTGAAGAGCTCTCTAGTTTATCTCAGATCTGGCTAAAAGCAGAGAAACCAAAGTGAAAGCATTAAACTGAAAAGGAGAAGGATAGGTCACGATACAGGCAATTAAATAGGGCTGCTTGTAAGATGGCACTTTCTGCTTCAAAAAAATCCAGAGGAAACAATTTATTTTGTTTCTACAAAGCTGACACCTAGAGTGTTAGGTTCAAGCGTGTTGACCCTAAATTGGTTCTTGTCTTTGCTTATAAAAATTTGCGATTTGCATGACAAAGTCTGCACAAATGTACCATGGTTCTGTAGTTCCTCAGTCACTTCAAGCTAACTCTCACTGTAAAACTAAACCTGAGAGCAGGAGTGCAAGCATGCAATTTCATATTTAATTTTTGTACTGAATTTCTTGCACTCACCCTGCATAACTGTTTGGGATCCTGACTTGAATCAGACCCACAACAAAGATGTTACATGTGTATTTTAATGAATAGAGCTCTGAATGCTTAACAAAACTGAAATGAGAATTTTTACCCTTCTTGGCAGCTGGGAAGCTTTGAAATGAAACAATTTATACAATTTACAGAAGCATGAGAGATATGGCTTGCAAGAGTCTTAGAACTTAGAACACAGGTTTCCAGTGTGCTACTACTGCATCCTGCCTGTGACTTTCATGTTGAACAAACCTGAACTCCAATGCTTTCACAGGCAAAAAAGAAACTATTCTGCCAGTCATTTAAGCACTGACTTTCAATGTAATGTCTGTATTAACTTCTAAACCTGTATTACAAGAAGGGAGAGCACCAAAACGTACCGGCAGTATCCTGAGTATCCCATCCCAAGTTCACTCAGATCAAATACTGACAAACTGCTATTGACATATCCTTTCAAGCATCTGAAAAGAAAAGACCAGGACTTTCTTCATAAAGTGGCCATACTGCGTAATCCTGTATGTAAACATTTTCTATCACATACTGTGAGCATGCTGTTGTATAAAAGCTATTCTTTTGAAGAGAGAAGCAAAGTTTCAATGGAAAGAAACAAACATCTCTTTCAGGAATAACATTGTTTTTAAAAATCTATTTTTAGCAGTTTTTGTGGTTTTGCTTATAATAAAAGATGATTCAAGAGCATATATATATGTGTGTGGGTAGTGGGAGAAGACAGTTCAGAATTATTGAAGAAGAAAAGCTTACCCAGAAAAAGTCGGAAAACTGCCATAATGTATATTGGCCTTTGTTGTTTGCATTCAGAAGGGAAGACATGATTTGCCATTGATGTAACTGTGGAGTGAGTTTGCAGACTCTTTGCAATGACTGAGTTACCTGCACTTAACATCTGTGAAGCTTTGCACAGATGTAAAAGTTAAAATATTACTGATATATGTTAACACAGAGAGTAGCAAAAGAGTGCTTCCACTGAAATATAGGTATATACATAGAGAGTATCTTACTTCTCTTGTCTGTACCCTTGATCTGTACAGGGACCATATTTGTATGCATAGACAAAACGTGGAATGTAATCAGAAGTAATGGCAATGACAAAGGCATTGGTGATAACAGCCAGAACTCCAATTCCTTCCAGAATCCCATACCAGATACCTAGAAATAAGAGAAATTACAATGAAGTCATCAGTTTTTTACAGTCTAATTAAGTTATAAAAAAATCACACTAGTGGTATTAAAGTCATTCTTAGTTACACAGTTTTCCTTTGTTATTGAGAAAGAACTACTCAGTTGGAAAAGCCAGGCAGGATTAAGCCACGTCCCCATATTCCTGCCACCACTGGCTACACTTACTGAAGTCTTACAGCAGGGCACACCCTGCTGAGAAGGAATAGCTAAACATCAAAGCTACAGCCATAATCTTTGGTTATAATCACTAAATAGTGGATTTTGGAAAGAGATTTCTTATTTTTATTTAATTCAGTTTTACACAAAAAGCGCATTTAGTCCTTATATTTTAATTTCTAAATTCAATTGATTTTGGACAGCATGTTAGACCTAGAGTTGCACAAATCAGATGCCTAAAATATGATTTAGACTGATGCCTAAATTCCAACCATTAGAATTCCTTATTGGAAATGAAAAGGAAATTGGAGGAGTCCTCTTAGCTAAGCAATTATCCTTTCCTTATTTAACAGGACAGTTGCCATTGAGATCTGTTAGTCACACTATCAATCTCACTCTCAAGGCAGGAAATATTTCCAGGGTTAAGCTGCATGAAAGAAGGAAAGACAAGGAGATGGCACCTGACAGTGACAGTCATTAGGTTCTCTCACCTATATCTGTTGCTCTTGCAGGCATAGGTCTTCGCCACTGGGTGACAAACTTGTAGGCGTCTAACCTTATTTCTATGATATTGTTAAGCAATGCCAGGAGTGGTGCCAGTGGGAAGGCAGCAACGAAGATGGTGGTAAAGCCAAACTGCAAAACTAGACAGGAATTCCTCTGGTTAGAAACTGAAAATGCAGAAGATCTTTCAATGTGCAACACAGTTTTAGTTTCTTAAGAAAACCGACATCTCCCTAAATTTGCTCACCCATCTCTAAGTATTCATCCATTAAACCATGGAGATTCATAGGCTGCAGATTCCAATCTTTTTCCCACTGAGGTAGAGAAATTTTATGCTCCATTAATTGCCCACTTCTCTTCATTTTCCGTCGTGACCACCAATTCTGTAACAAACTTTAGCAGATAAACAGAGTATTATTTCCTGTACTTGCTCAGTAATTTACAATATTTGCTGGTATTGTTTTGAAGCAAGTGGGTCTATTTTGAATTCCATCTGGTATTTTCTGGCAGTATTCACAATATCATATAATGTACAATTCAAAGAACTTCCCAAAGTTCTCAATTCTGCATTATTCTTTTGATTGTGTCTTAATGTAGAATGCTAGGCATTGTACAAGTAAGATTTGTAGAACATGGAATTTGCTTGCATAGACATTTTCCAGGATTTACCTGCATGCCTAAATAAAATAAAGAACAGGAAAAATAACATGCATAGTGAGAGCATTAAAAAAGTGAATGTTATATTTTTAATCCTGTAAAAGATAAAGCAAGTAAGTAGAGCTCAGTAAGAACTCTAGAGCTATTACTCAACACAAGACTTGTGTAAGTGCTCCTCAAACAAGTTCTCTTCACCCTTCAGGGAAGGTTGAAAATCAACATTGATCATGAAGTTTTGGATAATAACGTAAGACATGTAAACTTGAACCTGCAGAAGAATTCCATTTTATGTGCTTACAGACATACACTTCTGGAGATCAGTATTTCAGATGTCCATTGTCTTCATCAATTAATGACGATAATGAATTTCAATTAATTATGAAATTCTGCCCCCCACTCAGACAAAAAAGTATTTTCCCTATAATTGAATCACATTAATCTGTAATCATTGTTTGTAAAACAAATGTTAACATCTCAACTTACGGATAACCTAGCTCCATGAAGTTGTTCCACATTTGTTTCAAAACCATAATAACTCCCATCTGCAGACACAGATCTATCAAGCAGCCACTGGGATGACACTGAAATTAAATGGAAGAAGATCAGCAGCTAAAATCAGTGCATCCTTTTAACGTATACAAGGTGAGTGGAAAATACTCATATATATTTGGTGGAAAACACTACCCTCCTGCTAGAAATATTAAAAGAAATATTAAGAAGATAAATAGTAACACAGACTTTTGTTGGACTACCTTTAGACTTACTATTTCTTGGAGAACTGGATCATGTTACTGAAGCTGAGGCTCTGTTTGCTAGGTATGTTAGAAATGGTACAGTCCATTTCATCTAGACCACTACATACCTATTCATTCCAAAAGAGTGGAACAGTATTTCATTTGTAATATTCTAAGTCTGAACAGAGAGCTAGTAGCTGAATTTCTGCTACCAGTATCTTAACTATTCAAATCATCATATTTAAATGGTTAGTTATTACACAATCTTTTTTAGATTACGAAGTCATGGTATTTTCCTTTGTGGCTACCAAGGTTCAACAGAAGAAACATGTTTTTCTGAGATCAGAGAGAACTTCAGCATACTAGTGATATCAAGAGAGGTGCAATTCTAACACATTTTCAAGCTACATTTTGAAAATACTATTTTTTTTCTTTTAAAGAAATATTTTCACACAGGCAGAAACTTAAGAATCTGATTAAAAAGCTGATGGCATTTTATTTTTGTTCTCCACCCATCTACATACCCAGGAGATACCAGTCATGTAGGGCTTAGCCCTACCCGTGACATAAAGAACTACCACTGCTTTTTCCAAAGAGAGACTCAGAAAGAACTCCATGACTTGTGCAGAGCCCCTCAGCACAGTGGAGAATACAGAAGGAAAAACACATCTCTTGTTTCCTATCCTTTGCTATAAATAAGAGTTTATTCTTCACTGCACTTAGATGGCATAATAAATCTTTCAAACTGGACATAATTCATATCATTCAGCCATTTCCATTTTACTCATGGAAATATCACAACAGGAACACAAAAATTAGGAGTGCTTACCTCTTCCAGTCTCCATCTGTTAAAAAGCTTGTTGTACTTTCCTGGGCGGCCTGCAAACCTGGAAAGTAAGATTTCTGTTTCTCAGTGGACATTCCAGGAACGCTCTGTATCAAATAGTTACTTCACAACATCCACTGAGCAAAGTAACCCATTATATCACACAGGCTTAAATCTGGTATCTTGTAGGATACGGTAGTTTCAGAATGCAAACAAGGACTGTCATTTTGCAAGCGATCCTAAAGTTTTATTATGTCCAAAACAAAAATTATAGCTTCAGAGGTTTTAGATGTTAAGTTATTCAGACTTTCTAATCTACTTCTTTGAAGATAAGCTATTGCAATACATAGGAATTTACTGCAGCCCAGGGGTGTTTGCCCATGTCAGATGTGCCCTCACGTCATTGCACCCTCAGACGTACAAGCATAAAATCACTTCCAAAATCATAACTCAGTGTTTTTTACAGATGAAACAGATTTTTGGATAACAAACTGAGTTAAAATTCTTAGTGACCTCAGTGGAAGTTACATATGGGAAAGAAAAACAGCTATGGCTGGTCTTACTAAACACAGGAGATTATGAAGAAAAGAGAAGTTTAGAAACTGCATAGCAAATGGATCACTGGATGTAACAATCAGATATTACTTTTTCTAGAGGTTTTTCTCTTTCCAACAATCTTGAACTGAAATTATAATATAAAACTTTATGGAAGGTACTCTGAAATACTCTGTAGGTTCTGCAGGAATGTCTGTTCACAACAAAACTGAAGTGAAGATGAAGCAAGGTGACACCTTGCAGATGATACCTGTCCAGTATCCCATGTTCTGCCCAAAAGATAGACACAGAAATTGGAGCCAGAATTTTTGCCTCCTTCTCTTGTATGAGACCTACCAGGCACTATGCACCATTTATAGAAATGGATCCTGGGAAATATAACCAATGAGGAATCAACAAGAAAAAACGAGTAAGACCCATTAGTGCAGGGCGAAATGCATTTAGGAAGTGGTTGCATTTTCAAAGATTATGAATTCTCATTTAGTAGGAAAGTCACGTACATAGGCCCACTTAAAAAGTAGGTTTTTTTACTGTCAAGTTTCATAACTACAAGATTTCAAGGATCCATCCCTCACATACAGTTAAAAACATTAATTTTGTTTTTAATTATTCTCAGCAATGGGCTTGCATCTCAATCTTGCAGTTCAAACTGTCACTGTATTTTTTTTGAACCTATAAAATTAGCCAGGATTAGGAGCTCTGTGCAAGTTTCTCTTCAAAAGCAGTTAGGCAGAGAGAACTTACCTGCCAAGAAAAAAGGCAATGTAAAAGATGGAGCTGTTCAAGTTGACAAACTGGAAGAGGAACATTTTCAAAGCAAAACTGTTTTCCCATTCAGATTCTGTTCTAGGATGCTCTGTGGAAAGACACAATATGAAATGTTAAACAATTTATAATTCCATGAAGAAAGGACTGAGGTTCTTCTTTTGTGGTTTTATTTTTCTTTTTTGAAAGAAATGTAGAAATGTGTAGTAGGGCTACATGTATTCTGAGTGAGACTGCACTCTCCTGGATGTTTTTCCTTACAGTTTATAGAAGATGGCTTCTGTCTGAATTAGAACTCGGTGATAATGATTAGAATTAATTTTTGGGTGGTTAGAATTTCAAATTTCTTTGATGCATGTATTAAACTTGGAATAAACATAGTATGTTGGCAAAAGTTTTAAAGCATATATATCAGTTGGAAGTCTAAACTGCCTAGATTTTCCAGTTAAAACTTGTACTACTTAATTACTTTGATGACTAAATTAGCATATGCATGTAGAGGATATTAGCTTTACATATGGATGCTTGTTCCCAGAAGTTAAGATGTCCTTTGATATAAAACACTTTAGGAGGTGGAGTGAGCAACCATCAGCTTGCATAGGGGAAATCATTATTTTCTTTCCCATTTCCTGGTCTGTAACTATATAATATATTAAAAGAGTTAAGTAGGAATATAAATAAGTGTGATATGAAAAATGACTTTAAAATATTTTAATAATTTTAATAAGTTGACTGTACATTCTGAATCTTTCTAACCTTTTCAACTGCCTGTTACCTGAACCACTATGAAGTCCTGAGCGTGGTGTTTAATGCATGCTCTTCCAGGCGTTAACCAGAAGAGGGAGCTGGCACATTTAACCTTATTTTTAAACTATTGAACTTGTTTTTAAACCATGACGGGATCAAACACGTATGTTGACACGAGATAAAAGAGTGCTTGTCAAGAAGAAACTCTAAGATATAATAGTAGGAGATCTTAAATACTGTATTTTTTTTTGTTTTCTATAAGCCAGAAAACTTCACCTCTATGACTGTATCATGACTAGAGGCTTCAGTGTAAATTTTTAATGTGACAGAGCCACTTTAGAATTTATGACAATGTTTTTATATTGGACAATGAAATTCTCTTAACCTATTTTTCAATACTAAAATTCAGATTAAAAATTTGAAAAAAAAATAACATAGCATTTGGGAAGAATGGACACCACCCCCCCCCGCTTTAGCACTCTAAGAAACAGTATTTTTTTTTTTTTTACTTTTGCTCCATTATAACATGACAGATTTTTCAATTTATGCAATAAAGCATAAAAAAAACAAAGATGCAGAAGTATAACAATAAATTATTATTATATTATTATTATTTCCTTAGGGAAATAATAATGTAATTTATTCCTTTGCTATTTCTCATTTACTTAGGGAATTGCCAGTATGGCACTAAGCACAGATGAAGTTAGAACTCTGTTTTAGGGAAATAAAAAGGTATATCCTGCAGGTAGCAAGAACCATACTACTAGTAAAGAACCACATACCTAAGTCTGTCAGGAGATAGGCAACCTTTTCATAGACCTAAAACAGAAAGGAAAGATGGTGTAAGTACAGTCCATGCTGCCTGTTGTGATGTCAAATCCAGAATGAGAACAAGCATCAAGAGCATGGATACTCTGTTATCCTGCAGCATCAAGGTATCTGGACAGAGAAGGGAGGATGATATCCTTGTTACTCATGAATGTATAGTTTCCTATGAAGACTTAATTGTACTACTTTAGTCCTGTTCTCTTATCCATGTACATACATATATACATTAAACATACAATAAGATAAATAAAAAGCAAATAGGTCAAGAGAAGTGTTAAGATACCAATGGTTCTCTTAATGACCAGTTAGATGCTTCTCCTCTAAATTCAGAAACCTGTGTCATCTAAAACTAGGAAAAAGCCTCAGCTTCCTACTGCAAACTTCCTTATCTGTTTGTATATCGATGATCTCCAGTCTTTATTTTAAATGACACTTAGCCCAAGGTAGTTACCAACTCCGAAAAATTATTCTTTGAGTATTTACTATTAATAGCAAGTTGTTTTCAACAGCTTTAGCATGCTTTCCCACTTGAATGTACTTTTTATGACTTAGAATGATCATATATAGTAACAGAAACAAAATACATGACAGTCTGTTTGGGAGAATGTCTTCTTATTGCAGCAAGTGCACAATCTCCTTGATAGAATTAAAAGATACCATTTGCACACAATGTGCTATTCTTCCTTTTTATTTGTTTGTGCTTGCACAAAAATAGAAAAATGATAAATTACATTTCAGTTGAAGGAAGAGAGTTTATATCCGTGTTTGCTACCACAGCAAAAAATTAAAGCCATGCTGTTACATGACAGGAAAATCTTCAACTGAAATCATGTATCAATCACAGAGATTCTAGTACTGTGCATGCTGCATTTAAATTAATAATCAATTAATAAAAAAATGAAAGAAAATTCATAGCCAAGAAGATAATAGTAGTTCCATTTAGAGAAGAGGTATATTGTAAAAGGTGATGTAAACAAGCAAAATGGCAATGTAGCAAACAGTAGTCTGTACAAGTGTGACTTGGTGACATAAGCAAGGTTGTGTAGTGACAAATTAAGTAGAAAAACCCCTCTGAAATACTAGCTTCAGGCATTGCTAAATGAATAAGCAAGAACATGTATGTATCTGTCATTCAGTAAACATAACCTTGTAAAAATTGCTCATTTAAATCCCCCCTTTAAAAGAAAAGAAGACTTACAACATTGAGTGACATGATGATCATAAAATTGATACAGACTCCAGTGCCAGATGTTGCAAACTGCCAGTACTTCTTGATGAAATACCACTTGAAAGAGGCAAACTGTTCCATGGCTACCAGACGATACACAACCACTGCAAACACTGCAGTGAGGACCAGTGAAATCTACAGGTAAGGGTTTATGAATAGAGATATTAGAAGAAAATAAACCGTAGCTGAAATAATTTCCACTGAATTAATAAATTAACAAGTGTTTTAAAGACTGCTGTTTGTTTTGGTGAGCAGACTTTGAGAGAACAAAAACACTAGATTGTTGAATTAAAACATTTCTTTACTGTTCTTTTACAATCTAACTATACTACATATTTTAACAGGAGAAGATCCATAAACAAACAGTAAGACTGAGACAACCAGTTTTGCCTGAATTATGCAAATCCATTAAGTGTAATGAATCCACTCATGACTTGTGTTACTATTTACATTACAGTAAGATTCAAGGCAACAATAATTCCAATAATATTAAGCATTACCATGAAGAATATTCCTGAGACAGACACCATCAGTCGACTGAGCTTATCAGGGAAAGGCTGAAAAGGTTCAGGTTTTCCTGTGATTGGGTTAACTCTTTCCACTTGGGAATATTTAGCTTCAAACTGGGGGCGCAGCTCTTCCTGGAATGACAAGGTAGATTTGTTGTCCTACTTATTTCAGTGAAGTCTCAATAATCAAACACAAATACGCTATAAAGCACAAAATTTATACTGATAATTTAAAAAAAAAATAATGCTCCAACCCAAATATCCAAATAATTTGCTCTCTTGAAAGTCCTTGGAAACAGTGCCAGAGACCAACAAAGAACAGAAACTATAAGAGCCTTCCCCACAGTATGAGGGTATTGAAAATGATCATGGGTCATAACACTGATTTAAACAGTAGTTTATCTGCAGAAATCAATAAGAAAACAACAAATTAATGCCAGTTATGATGGTGCTTTTTGTGATACGAAACGATTTACTGAAAGACACCACCCATGTAAAGCAATAAAACAAGTAATTATAAAGACTATATGAACTGAATAGCATTTGAATCACCAATATAGTTAAATTACAGCTATATTCACTAGTGATTTAAGAAGTAAAGCAATAATACAGTTTTACGATTGCTGATAACAGAATGTTAACTGATAAGTTATGCCTCTTGGAAGGATATAAAATCTAGTTCCTGACCCTCTGCTTGTCCTAGTCCCATTTTTATACAGGATCAGGAATGTACAGTGCAAGAACCCACAGAACTGAAAGGCATCTATGCTGACATCAGTAGCAGCTCCTGGCCTCTGTACAGGGAGTATTTCCACTCAGTTTTTCAAAGGATACTTTTAATAAATGCAGAATTGTATTTAGAATTACAATGCTAGTTACATAGGGCTAAGTATCCTTGCATAGTCTCAAGTATACTTGTTTTTTCTGCAACTAGTGTTACAAATGAAAATATGACAAATTCAGATTACTGGCATAAAATATGTATTGGTATTTACACTTAAATCCTGCTGATGGCAAAATTTACAGGTTTCCTGCTGTTAAGTCTTACCTCTTCATCTTCCCAGTCTATGAGGTCCCAGTCATAAGTTAATACAGCTCTCCTTCTTTTCCAAAACTCTAGAAAGACTGTAGCTGTGGAAATCATCAACTGCATTTTAATTATGGAAAAGAAAGAAAAAAGGCCATGCAGATCTCAAGAAAAACAGCAAGATATAACAGAGTAACTGTCATTAGCCACTTCCTGGCTCTTTTCCTCATAGGATCTTCCTGAAGTTGCCACTTAGGAAGCACAGGCTTACAGCTGAAAACCAGCTTAGCCTCATCTCCCACTCCTGGAGTATTCTGAACCACAGGGCCACAGCTCTGAATCTGCTGGCACTCAGCCTCACTGCTGGGGGTTTTGCCTTCCAGGAACAGCAGGCCAGGACTCAGCACCAGCATCCTGGCACCACACTGCAGGTGTACAAAAACTTAGGTCAGAACAAAGTCTCAAAGGAAGCATTTTCCATTAGGTGTTAAGTCACTCAAGTAAAGAGTTTCTGTTTTTCCTACCACATGAATGAAACTGCTAATAAATAAGAGAGAGAGAGAGAGAGTCTGCACTTTTCCAAGCCCCATGCTGAGGCTGAGGGCAGCAGTAGAGAGGAATGACTTTCACAGAAAGGTAGATAAACTTTGACAAAACTGCAGCCTAAATATTCAAGGTCTTGCTATTTTCAGTGTTAGACATATATTCAAATAGTCTTTTTAAAAACAAACAGAAACAAACACAAAAAAACCCACATCAAAACTATCAGAAAGGCTTGTCAGCACCATAATGTGTGCATGCTGGCGTGGAGGATACTGCTGTTTTGGTTAATGCAGCATAAGATCCAAATTCAGACACAAATTTGCAGTGCTCGCTTTCAGATCCTGTGGTCAGTCTGTTAGATGCAGGTCCACCCAGACACAGCAATAAACGTGATCTGGAAGCTTGCTGATACACACTGCAGAGAATACCACATTCCAAAGAAAACTAAACCCATAGCATCAGACTCTGTCCTCCCACTTCTCACAGACCCATTCCACCTCATGCCGCACAAATCACTAACTTCCCCAAAAGGGAAATTAAAAAAGGGATACTTAGGAGAACTTGATCTATTTTCTTCAGTGAAGACTTTCCACTTGTTCACTGCAGTGTTTTCAAGAAAACACCACAATTCGCTCCAATACAAACATCTCCTGTATATGCCATATTCTCAACACTTATCTCAAGGATAAATTATGCAATACTATTTAGACTTGATGTCTTAAAAATTTAAAGTGGAAACAGATTAACAACATCATAGCATTCCACTCAGTCGCACAATATTGAAACATTTCTGAGTCACTCGTCACCACATACCAGCCTAGAATAAATATAGATAAAGGATTAAAGAATAAAAACAAAATCACAGGTTGACTATATCAGCGTATTAAAAGTTATATATGAAGTGCCTGACATCCTCATTCTTAATTTAGTTGAGTATTGTGTATATAAAAGTAAGAGTTTATACTAAAGTAAGTGTTGTAATATTCAGATCCCCAGCTGGTTATGTACTCCAAGGTAAAAATTAATGACAACTGATACACCCAGAAAAATCTGAATTTCGATTATCTTAAGTGCAACTGTGAACATATTTGGAGGTAGGGTCAGACCCACTTCTAGCAGCATGCTTTTCTTATCAGAACTCATTTTGCTGCTTTATTTTGTAGAAGACACACCTTTTCCAGTCTTCATCTCACACACTGTACTGCAGGAAACTGTGATAGCACAAAGCTGTCTTCTGTCAAATTAATAGTTGCACAGTACACGGAACAAGAGTTTCTGTAGTTTACAGAAAACAGGCACCTTTCTGAAATACCAGTTCAGAGGCTTTCAAAGGATTAGGCAATAAGCACTGCCTACCCACTTTACCACAAACACTGCAATTTTGGTGGACTCTGTAATGACAGAGCTGGGTCCTGAGGGCAGGGAAGTCGGTCAGGCTGGTTCCCAGCACGGGGCTGCCACACCTTGCCCTGCCTTGCCCGGACAGCGCGTTCCGACCGCTCTCACACCGCCACGTTTCTTGTACCTCAGCTCCCCTCTTCCCGCCAGACTCACTGCACTCTGGGGCAGAGCAGTGTTTCCACAGGTGCTTGCATATTTCGTGGAGCTCAAAGGTAAGTCGGAGGTGTTTTTAATGCTTATGAGTGGATCTGATGAATAATTGGGAGTCTTTTGTTCTATGTAGTGTTCAGGAAGGTGATCCGTGCTGTTGTGGCCAAATTTCAGTTAGAGTGTATTTCTGAGAAAATAATTGGAAAAAACACCCCATTTTTTGAATCAAACATTAAAGCAGAGAAGTAGCCACTAGAAACAATGACAGTGTCTCACTCAAATTCATACTTTATTGGTTATTTATGCTCCTTATTCATATTTCTTTCTAATTCACTAAAATGTCACAATTATTTTCTCAGTACAAAAAATTCTTGATTGAACATTGAATATTTATTGCTCATTACATTTAGAAGTATCTCATCCTTTGAAAGCTGTCTGAAATTTATAGCAAGAGGCCACTGTACATTTCTGGGACCATCATTTGCTATCATTTCTTTTGGAATTCTAGAAGATCAACTCTACATATCTTACTTTATAATTGTTCTGTCTATTTTTGGATAATGGATGTAAAGGTAAAATTAATCTGCTTTATAAAGCTTAAAAAGCATAGCAAGCATGAAAGCTCTGCAAATGTGAATGTTACTCCAGACTACAAGAAACTAAGAAGTGCCATTAATAGTTTGCTTATCATGGCACTGTTTACTACATAAATTGAAGTACTTTTTAATCACTACTGGATAGGAGAGAAACGGTGCAAGGTTCAATTTACTGACATGCAAAAAAAGTCCTATTAATTTATAGTTCTGAACATTGTACCATCTACCCATAAGAAGTTGAAATGCCTATTTATTGACAATCACAGAGATTTTTGAGACATTATACCTGTCATAGGCAGGTGCTGGGCTGTGTTCAAAAATACATGTTACAATTACTTTATTATGCTCCAAACCTATTTTTAAATACTTACAACACCACTGAATACATATGTATATGAAAATTGCCATGTAAGAATTTCTTAGGACATTATTTTCTTTGTCTTGTAGAGATATTTAGAGCAAATCTGAGCAGTTTAAGGAAAACACAAAGCCAGATACAGGATCAATGCAAACTTCATGAAGTCCATAGACCCAGGGGGGTTGTGACTTGAATGGGACTCAGCTTCACCCACAGTGTAGGTGTGCAGGTGCAGATATATGTACACCAGTAGCTTCATACTGAATACTTTCTGCTGTAAGGCAATTTTAATCTTTATTAATTTTTGCAGCCTTTTTTCAATTTTACTTCAAATTCTGTATGACATAACCACAGCCTCCTCAACATGCCTGTGCCTACATTAGGATTTTAATCCACATCAAGAGTGTGCTTTTTAAAGCAAGGTTCCTGATCACCTCCACATGTTGCCCTCTGGCTTACACCACTGAGCACCCCTTACACACTAAGCTCCATGAATAGCCTAACACACAACCAGCCTTTCAAGGGTGCTCAGTCAAAGGGAAGAGATGGTGGCAAACTCAGAGTAGACCCCTCAAGAAATATGGGAAGAGTAAGTATCAAATCCTCAGCACCTCTATGGATCTATTGCAACTGGGCTACACGTTTTCCAGTACAGCTACAATCAGGGTATACTTAGCTGGAGAGTCATTTTAATGGGAAACTGTGTTTGTGTCTTGGTGAATTCCCCAAATAAGGGCCACTACATCTCTTCATAAAGCCATTGACCAAAGGAGAAATATTAGCCTTCTCATTTGTGGAGTTGGCTTTTTTTTTTTTCCTCCCCAAGTTTAATAGGTTTTGAATGAAATTTGATTCTAGCAGCACAGAAACTAATGCAGAGTGAAGGAACATGGTGGTGACCACCCTATGTAAAAACCTCTTCTTTCACGTTAAAAACATGTAGAGCTAATCTAGGTAATTTAACTGCATCCTAATCCCATATCAATGTCATTTTGACTCAATTCAGGCTATGTCTACTACACCGAGTTTCACTGAGTAACAAACTTGAATACCAACCAATTAAACAGTGAAATATTTTTTTTAATTATTGTTATTGATAATCTGTTCATAGCTTCCTTAAACACTTACTTTACCAGGTAATTTAAGGTTTGAGCTCTTCTGCAAGTTTTGGCTGATCTCTAGCACAGCTGTTTTACTGTAATAGCACTATTTGTATATTGAGCTCCAAAGGCAATAAGTATCTTTGAAGAACTTTAGTGTTTTTCTAAACTGTATGAACCTTAATGTTGCACTAGAAAAAGAGGCGTTAATTATTACAAACAAAAGGGTTTCCAGGAAGTAGTTCCTCCCAGCCTGAGAACTACAGTACACAACCTTTAAAGTAAGGAGGTTTCTTCGTTATGGTCCCCCTTGAAGAAGATTACACAAGAAAGCCAATCAGAAAAAATGACAAAGAATCTGTTCAGCAAGGATAGTGACCCTTTGTACAGTATTCTGTAAATTAAAATTACAGTTAAAGTGAATTGAGCAAAAATTCCCTCTGCGGTTTAATTAATTAAGGATAGAATCACAGAATGGTTAAGGTTGGAAAGGACCTTAAAGATCAGCAGGTTCCAACCTCCCTGCTATGAGCAGGGACACCTCCCACTAGAGCAGGCTGCACAAAGCCTCATTCAACCTGGCCTTGAACACCTCCTGGGAGGGGGCATCAAACCTTCCAGAGAGGGGACAGGACCAAACCCACTTTGTTCATGACTATGACTATTACTACAAAGAAGAAAAGACCATGACAGTGAATTAAAACAATAATACTTTTAAAATGGAATCATCTGTTTGAAAACTTTGTAAAATACAAATGCTTTTTTTTCCTTCACTTTTGCAGCTAACAAATCAAAATCTAATATTCAGATTGCACAGCTTTTCTGACATCATCTGACAACCTATCATTCAAATTGTAAACATAATTGGAGCTGGTAATTGAATCCCAAATGGGTTTTCTTTGGCTTGCTTATTTGGGGTCAAAGTGGTTATTCTGAGTTTGGCTGATACTCAAGCA